CACACAAACTCTTATCATATCTCATGCTTTGTTTAAATCAATAAAAATAATTAGTAAATGTGATAATAATTTTACTTTATTATACAATTATTGCAATTTATAACATTTTAAAGATTTATTAATAATTTGTAAAAATAGACTAAACATTTACTCATTAGGACTTAGAAATAACATTATATTAAAGTTTTAACAACATTTTTATCGTTATTTTGTATAAAATATTTAGATTAAAAAATAGGCGTTCAAAAAATAATGTTAATAAATAGCATTTTAAATGTTGGGTACATTACTCAGTACTTGAATATAATATACAGGGCATGGATTATCCCGGGTATATATCCGAGACAACACAGCAATATATTGATGAGTAGATCACAGTCGCAGCCCTTTTCCAAGAATACCCCGAGGGGTGGGAGGAATATGGCCAAAATGATCTTGCATATATCCGATTCGGTAAACGGCATGTTTTCTCTATGTATTTCACGAGTATTTATAGACCACTTGTAATATAGTTTTCTCAAAAGTAAAACTATTTTTCCAATTGTAATGATATTTATATGCTTTTTGATTAACAAATGAATGAATTTCAATATATTTTTCCCGTTTATTTGTTTTACTTTTAAGATATGATTTACAATTCCGATACCACTTCATTTGCATTTATCTATACTTTCATGTTTAATACACACCATGTATAATTCATGTATAGAGAGTTTAGTTTAAATGAATTAGTTGTGTATTTAATATTTAGCATAATTTGAATATAACAATTTTGGATAATTTAATTTGCATGTTTTATAACATAAATTGGGGCTTTAATTGTAATTTTTAGTTTACAATACCGAGTGTTTACAGTTTAGCGGAAAGACATTGGGATTAATTGTCATTGATATGCGAGATATGGCTTATCGTAGTATAGAGTATGAGTCAAATGAAATATTTTCCATATATTATACTCAGGGAAAAAATTCCGTATACCCTTACAGTTGACAATAAGTTGTATGTAATATATTCAGTACTATTTACAGTTATTTGCCATTATAAATTGTAATAATTGTTGCTTTTGGTTACAATCATAACCATACTTTTGTAGATTTTTTTGATTGCATAATGTGTTAGAAATTGAAGCTTATTTTTATATATTTAGTAATTAAATTATAATGATACTTAAAAATATATACAATCTATACGGGAATAGGTTTCATTTGATTTTTATATTAGGTTTAAAGTACTCTTATAAATGATAACAATAGTTTTTGGTACAATCTCTTTATAAACCAAATATTAATGTTGTATTGTAAACACTATCATTCAGTTACAGTATTGCGTGAAATATAATTCAATTACACAATTAATTGCTAAACACTTTTTTTTATTATACATGAACATACCTGTGCTCATGTATACTACTTTCGTCTTAGTGAAAAAGCAGTGAATAAAAAGCCAATTTTCCTTGAATAATTTTCCCAGACCAATTACACAGTACAATACAATACAA